TTCCCCCGCTGCCAGGGGACTATATTTTGCCTTTGCAGGGTGATGGATTTGGTGACTTAGTAGATCATTTCCACCTCTGATTTATGCGATACTATTTTGTAACTGGCTGTAAATCCTCTTGTGGTGATTGGTGCAGTATCTTTCACATTAAAGCTATTAAAACTATACAGAGCACAATCATGTACTCACTTTGACTTATGTTGGAGTCATGTTGGTATTAAAGGGACATCACCACTTCAAAATCCCATTTCTAGCCGAAAGCCTACCCCTCGCTCAGAAAAATATGATTGTAAAGCTCCAAAACTTGACAGGGGGATACAATATCTGATACATTTTTAATTTTTAATTGGTTAGATTTCAAAGTGTTGGTGTCCCTGTGAATCCACTCACTGGGCTAACTCTTTCTCCATCATAAGCCCATAACAAGAGGTAAGCCATCTCTGTAGAAATAAGATCTCACTTCCCATGAGGACAGATCCTTCTAATTGTGGAACATTTTTGTCTTGTACTGTAAGGAGATAATTGGGGGCGGGGGTTGTAACAAGTACTTTATAATTTTAAAAGATAATCCAAGTTCATTTGCTGTATAATTTAAACTACATTGTCTACCTTTGCCGTTTGCAAGTTATTTGAACCTCTTTGAGCATGTGAACAAAAACTATGTTTGGTTTTTTCATTGGAGGTTAGTGCCACCATGTGGCAACCCTAATGCTCTGTTCTGGTAAATCAGAACTTTTGCATCTGAGGAGGCAGAAAGAGAATTTGTGAATATTTTGTAAGTATTTCTGTGTGTTCAGTTTAAGATTTATTGTTGTTGATGATGATTTTTAACTTACTTTTGGACTCCATGAAGAAACATAGCTCAAATTAGATTTTATCATTTTGTAAAAAAGAAAAGAAAAAAATGAATTAACTAGGGTGAAGGAAGCAGCTGACTGGTTAGTTATGTTTGACATATCAACTGTGCTCTGAAATGAACAATATAAAAATGTTGCTTATTAATTTAAAAAGAACATGGGTCTGTTCTTCTCCCAAAATGCTAGTGGGAGTTATCTGTGTTCATTTGAGTCCAGCTCCTGCTCTCCTAATTCACATGAGTAGTCCCATTGAAATCAGTGGGCTTGATTCTGATTTCATTTGCTTTTCAAGAGAAAGTCCACAGAAGTCAACAGAGTTACTGACCAATAACCAATGATTCAAGTGAATAGGATCTACTTGGGTAAACTTCTTACTGAGCACTGAGACTTTTGCCCAAGAATGAACTTTTCAGCGTCCATCTCCAATTAAAATATCAGCATCAGTGCAATTTCTATCAAGGTACTGTACCTTTAAAAATGCAAATTTAACATAAGGCCAGTGGGCCACATCCAGTGAAACATGCTCACTTATACCAGCAGTGACATCAGTCCATAAACATTACCTTAAAGTCAAGACATAGACCCAGAAAAGTAATTAGGTTCTGAGCTGAGGCTGCTGGAACAGCTATGTGGTACCTGCACTGAATTGTCTTCCTCGGGGCTTAATATATTCAGCTGGTCCAGGAAAATGTAAGGTGACCCTGTTTCAGGAGGGCAGGGATTGGGAGTGGAAATCTGTGTATGTCCTTTTGATTTCCTGTTTGAGCAATGGATCAGGGCGAGCAACAGAGAAAGGGTGGTTAGCCTCAGAATTCTGTGTGTGTTAGAGCTGGATGACTGCAATGGTTTCTGTAAATTGAGCTAAAGGGATAATAACATACATCAGTGCCTGGGCTTCCTTCTCAAGAAGGTGATTGAGGGCAATGGTGGGAAAGTTGGAAAGTAAAATTAAAATAGGCAGCTGGGACCAGATGGCTTTTCCTCCTTCCCAAGGTATTTTATGTTATTAAAGGGCCAGTTCTGCCTTTAGGTGTGTACTAATGGGTCCCACTGAGGTCCATACACATTTTTCAGGGCTGAGTTTTTGGCCTGGAGTAGCTAGTTCGTATGTTCTTTGCATTTCAGATATTGATGCTTTGGAAGACAACCTAATTGTTTGAAAATTAAGCAAGTGGAGAGATAAAGGTGAGGTGGGGGTAGAAAATATCACTGGATAATGGTGTTTGTTTCATTGCACTCCCACTACACTTGATGACATTGGTAGTAGTATTTATTTAACCCAGACAATTTATGTTCAAGTACAAACATACACTAAAAATGCAAAAAACCTAGCCACGAAGCAATCACTTCTTACTTTGTAAATGACTGGGCAAGTAAGCTCATTTCCTGCTGTGGAGTAACACTTACTGAGGAACTCATATGTGCTAATAACATTATATGTTCACTTGTATATTGAGTCCTCCATGCTTTCTCTTCCCATGATGCTAAGACCCCTACCCTACAGTCCTGATGCAGGCAAAAATCCCAGTGAAGTAAGAAAAGCAGGATTTGGCCTAATATGGTTATTTTGCAATCTTATGCTAAGAAGCCTCTGAGTAGATGTGGGAAGAAAGGCTCAAATAATTAGTATGGAGCTATTTGATGGAAGAGGAGAGCTTATGGCATTTATAAGGACTGCAGTGCTCATTTCATGATATCGCAGGCTTATTGCTGTCACAGGTCCATGAGAAAAGCTGAATTTAACCTCAAATACTGAAAATGGAGGAATAAAAGAGATACATTCCTAGAATGCAAACACACAAAACAGGAATTGAACAAGAATAGTGTATTTTTGTATAAAAAGCACACAAACAGTAGGTGCAGTACATGTAAGAGTATATCCTGAACGAAGAGGAATTAGTCTGAAAATATGTTAAATAAGTGTATCAACAATCAGGGTTCAGTGGGCGGGGGGAGGACGTGGATAGAGGTAAGGGGGGTGGGAGTTAAAAAGTTTGGGGACCACTGAGCCAGGCAGTCTGTGACACTGAGCACCACAGTGCCTCACTTTTAGGCACCTAGAACATCACTACAGTTCACAAAGTGTGAGTTTGACACCTAAGCTCCTATACAATGAATAGGGAGAGATAGCACCTTAGACTGCAGTTCACAAAAGCCAATGTGCTAGGCAGGAAGCCACCTAAGCTAGCCAGTTGGAGATGCTGACCACTGGGGTGTATGCTAAGTACCACCCCTCTCATGGAGTAAGGCGTCTAAGTCTAGGCTGCAGGGACTGTGCCTATCTCTGCTTGCAGATCCCTGCCGGGAACCCTCTCTGGAGTCAGGCACTATTTTTTGCAAGAAGCCAGGGAGGGTATTTGGGCCAGAGAGACAGAAAAAAGTGTGTGTGTGTGTGAGGGAGAGAGAGAGAGAGAAAAGGAGAGCACAAGCATGAAAATGACTCTATAGCCCGAGAGCACTCACCCAGGATGTGCAAGACTCAGAATCCAGTTCCCCTACTCCAGTTACTCTTTGATTATTTATTCACAGTGCAACAACTTCAACAGGAAAGACTGAGGGAGGCCCACATTAAGAATATCCCACCCATAGCCCACTGGTTAGGGCACTCCCCTGAGAGGTGGCAGATCCCTGTTCAAATCCTTTCTCCCCCTCGAGAAGAGCGGGGACTTGAACTGGAGGTCTCCCACATCCCAGGTTGAGTACCCTAACCACTGGGCAAAAAGTTATGAGGGAGTTCTGCCACCTGTCTCCGATGCCCCCAGCTGACATGCTCAGAGGGTGCCAACTGGATTGGGCCCCACAGGTGACTTAAGCGTCCAAATGCCTGTCTTCCCCTGGTGCATGAATCGCTCTGAGGCTTAGGTGGGAGACAGACAGCTGGATGCCTAGCCTGAGGTAGCAGTGCACATGCCTGGAGGCAGAAGCTTGGGTGCCTAGGGAGTTTTTACTGCAAAAACTTAGGTGCAGAGTAAGTTTAGGTGCCTAAAAGGTTCAGCAGCAGTTTTGTGCATCTCAATAGTGCCAAAATTGGGACTTAGGCACCTAATTCCTTTTGTGCATCCTTAAGTGTCTGTATTACAAATAACCCCTACAATTGATACTCTCAGCAGATGCCAAATCTATCTACCATAGCTGCTTATGTAACCCACACACCTCCTGGGTGTGGTGTTCTGTCCCATCTAGTGGCACCGAGACCACTTAGAGAGAGATTAATGAGTCTGCTTTACAGCCTTAGCTAAGGGCCACTTGGTTTTTAGCTCATGCAGTAGAGGCTCATGCATTTAGCTCCAGAGGTCCCAAAGTCCAATCCCAACCGCTGACGACCGGGATCTGTTGGTGTTACACTTATATGACCCTCATTACCAAAGTATCTGAGTGCTTCGCAATCTCTAGCATATTTATCTCCAAACACTCCTGTGAGGTAGGGAAGTGCTGTTTTACAGATGAGGAGTTGAGGCACAGACAGGCTAAATAACTCGCTCAAGGCCATACAGGAAGTCTGTGGCAGAGAAGGGCATTGACTCCAAGTCTCTGAAGTCTCAGGTTAGCACCCAAACCATTGGACCCTCCTTCCTCTCTAGATTGACTGGGTCACGGAGACTGGGTTAACCTCACTTCTCTAAGTTGTCTCTCCAGACCAAAGGTATATTGGTGTGATGGCATGAGGAAGTTTGATCTGATACTGTCCCCCATGCTCTGCTGGCTACATAGCTTACTAAAGAGCGTCAGTCTCATGGACTAAATTAATTGGTCCTGCTTCGAGCAGGGGGTTGGACTAGATGACCTTCTGGGGTCCCTTCCAACCCTTATATTCTATGATTCTATGATTCTATGAATTGGAACTCTTAGTACTACACAGATAATTTACTCAGGGAGGGAATTTTGAGCAGCAGTCTTGTACAATAGAAATGAGGAATACATGAAGCAACTTCTATATGCATTGTGTAATTGATGTTGTAAACCTCTACAGGATTGCGTAATTGATGTTTTCATCCTCCTTACATCATTACAAGTAAAGTAGATTGCTTTTAAAAGCAATGATCTCATTCATTCCTCTTTGCTGATTGGCTGGCTAAATTAAGAAACAGAAACATTTATTTAAAAAGAGTGCTTATCATGAGTGTCCTGCAAGAGTGGTGGAGAACTGTCTTCATAGGTGAATTAGTGTTCCAAAGAAAACTGGGGAGAAAAGAAGATTAGAGAAAAACAAATGCCTTGCTGATCTTCAAGAAAGGGAAGAAAAGTGATCCTGGAAGTTACTACCTGTAAGTCTAACTCCTATTCCTAGTAATAAAATAATGGTACATGTATGAAAAGGAGGGGAGGTCGGCTCTCTTAGCTTCTACATGATAACAGACCCCTGGGCAATATGCAACCAATATGTTTATAAAGGATAGATGGTGCCAGCCAAGCTTGGGGTTTTTTGGTGATAAAAATTACACTGTTGGTGGATGAGTTATCTAATGGGGCACTGCCGGGTTCTGTCTTAGGTCCAGTCTTATTTGACATCTTCATTCTGTGATCTAGAAGAGAGAGTAAATAGCATCGTCAGTGAAAATTGTTGACGATGCTAATCGTGAGGGACTTGAGAGGACATATAAAATGACAGGGTCTAAAGTAGCTGTTACCACTCAAGAAAGAGATCTTGGAGTCATTGTGGATAGTTCTCTGAAAACATCCACTCAATGTGCAGCGGCAGTCAAAAAAGCGAACAGAATGTTGGGAATCATTAAGAAAGGGATAGAGAATAAGACAGACAATATATTGCCACCGTATAAATCCATGGTACGCCCACATCTTGAATGCTGTGTGCAGATGTCATTGCCCCATCTCAAAAAAGATATATTGGAATTGGAAAAGGTTCAGAAAAGGGCAACAAAAATGATTAGGGGTATGGAACAGCTGCCATATGAGGAGAGATTAATAAGACTGGAACTTTTCAGTTTGGAAAAGAGACGACGAAGGGGGGATATGATTGAGGGCTATAAAATCATGACTGGCGTGGAGAAAGTAAATAAGGAAGTTTTATTTACTGCTTCTCATAACACAAGAACTAGGGGTCACCAAATGAATTTAATAGGCAGCAAGTTTAAAACAAACAAAAGGAAATATTTTTTCACACAATGCACAGTCACTCTGTGGAACTCTTTGCCAGAGGATGTTGTGAAGGCCAAGACTATAACAGGGTTCCAAAAAAGAACTAGATAAGTTCATAAAGGATAGGTCCATCAATGGCTATGAGCCAGGATGGGCAGGGATGGTGTCCCTAGCCTATGTTTGCCAGAAGCTGGGAATGGGTGACAGGGCATGGATCACTTGATGATTACCTGTTCCGTTCATTCCCTCTGGGACACCTGGCATTGGCAACTGTCGGTAGACAGGATACTGAGCTAGATGGACCTTTGGTCTGACCCAGTATGGCAGTTTTTATGTTCTTATCACAGATAAATAACACAAAGATCAAGAAATCATACGTATGGGCAAAAGGGAATAATACAAAGGGACAGAATCAAATCTAGTGTGATTTGCTGCCTCTCCTCTCCCTCTCTCCTCAAAGAGTATTTACAAAGCACTGGAAGCTTAAAGCTGAAGGGGTTCATTTTGCTCCACATCCTATTTTTCAGAAGATGGCTGCTGTTTGGAAAAAACTAACTGTCGTGGGAGATGTTGCCTGTGGCAAGACATGCCTCCTGCTTGCCTTCTGCAAGGAAGAGTTTCCCAAATGCTATGAGCCAACAGTGTTTGAAACCTATGTCAATGACACCGAGGTTGATGGGAAGTCGATGAAGCTGATGCTCTTTAATGTACCAGGGCAGCACCAAGGTAATTATCAGCACTTCCGTTCGTTGTTCTATAAAGGCACAAATGTCATTTTAATGTGCTTCTCAGTGGACAGGCCAAATTCACTGCAGAACATCCTTGACATTTGGATTCCAGAGGTCAGACTGTTCTGCCCCACAGCTCCCATTGTTCTGGTGGCTACCAAGAAAGAACTGAGGAACGATGAGGGTGTGCTGGAAAGACTTGCTAAATTGGAACAAGAGCCAATAAAGACGGCAGAAGGAAAGGCCTTGGCTGCTAGCATTGGGGCATATGCCTATCTGGAGTGCTCTGCAAAGACGAAAGATGGCATTGAGAGAGTCTTACAGATTATTGGTCAAGCTGCAATACGAGATGGAAAGAAGAGAAGAAAGCATCGGGTGTTCTTCAGATTGTTGTAAGAAGAGCAAAAGTTATTTTTTAAAAAACATATAAGTACATAGATAACTTATTGAGAAGTTAGATGGCATGTGGGAGCTTTATGAGTATTGCATGAATGCTTTCATGGGGCCAGATTGTCCCTCCTCTGGGGAAAAAGCTGGGTAGAGGAGAGGAACATGCAACATTTCTCTTGAAGAATCTCTACTGGGTCATTCTGCTGGGGCGTGAGTGGGATTTGCCTCCTCCCACCCCCTCAGAAATGAGGCATGGATACAAACTCCAGAACTGTAGCAGATCGAGCACTCACTGGCGCAGCACCTCCTGCTGGTCATCCAGGAATTAGCTCTTTTCCAGCCCTGGAGCGCCCCCTGCTGGCCGGTGACTCTTCTGCCTCAGGCCCCCATGTCCCTCCCGGACCCTGGTGCCGCTTTTCCTTGGGTTTCTGCCCCATGGCAGTCCCCATGCTCTGGGTCTCCTCTCCCAGGGGAACCCCCAACCCTCTAAGCCCACCTTCCCTCAGTGGCTACTGCCAGTCATCATCTAGCCCCCATTCTCTGAGGCAAACTACAGTCTGTAATGGCCACTCATCACTGGCAAGGGGGTTGGACCAGCTGCTTCTGCCTATCCCTGGGCTGCACCTCTGCAGCCCCACTACCCCTTTAGGCCTTTAACAAGGCCTGCAGCCTGGGGAGTTGCCAGGCTGGAGTTCCCCAGCTCCTCTTGCCCTTCCCCAGCACCGCTCTATTTCCGGTACCCTGTGCTCCCAGGCAGCTAGGTCCTTCCCACTCTAAGGCTGGAGTGAGACTGGCCCAACTCCTCCCTTAGCCCTTCTTATACTGGTCCAGCCAGGCCCTGATTGGCTGTCTCAAGCCAATAGATAACTTCGAACTCCTTCAAACCCAGAGCAGGGTGACCGCCCCACTACAAGAACCCACAGATGAACTGAGATTTGCACAGATCTTGAGAGATGAAAGTGAGGCCAAAGCCGTAATTCTCCACAGAAGTATGGTGATTCTGCATTACCTCCTCGATCTCATGGCTTTCAGTGCAGCTCCCTGTTAGCACAGCTTTAGTGGCAAGGCCCTGTGCTGGCTAGGCTAGGCTAGTTCCCCTGCAGCTTCCTTACACATACTCACATGGAGCATATACTTAGGGCAAAAAGGCTCCATGCAAAAGTTCATACAATCACAGGCTATATTAACTGGATTGTTGATTACCCACTGCTTTCCTGTGAGGACAATGCACATAGCACACCAAATCCCAGCCTTTTCCATGTTTAGATTCCCCATGCCACAGGTCTGGAGATGGAATGTAGGCTACTGTGACGGTGGCCCTCACCCTTTCCACATACAATCTGGTCTTTAACAGGATTCTTACCTTTAGCATGCATTCAATTAGAACCTGATAGGTACAGGATAAGAGAGGTCTGAGAGCTCTACTGAAATAGAGCTTCGATGACATCTAATCCTCAACATCCTTACTTTTTTGGAGACCTCTTACATATTTTTCTCCTTCTCTAGCACTTGTGGACAGAAGCAATGAAGTAAAAAGAATGCCAGCGATGCGGCCAACAGTTGAGAGAAATTTTCTACCTAGGGTGAGATGGGGACATCCCACCAGCAGCAGTGGTGAGTCTCCAGAAGCCAGAATGAGATGTAATTGAACTTGGACACATTAATACACACCTCCTTTATTTCAAGGACGGATATTAAGAGCATTGCTGGCTGTCCTGGAAAAGAGATTTGAATTCTGGCTATAGATGCAAAGATGGCTGGTAAATAACATGACTAGCATTTATTAAAGACATACTCTACAGATCAGAAGGTGGATAAAAAAAAGACAATCCTGGAGTGAATAATCTTAGGATCCTGGTATCAAGGGACAAGGAACTAATTTATTGAGCCTAGCTCATCGTACAGAAGGACAATATCCTTTGGTATCTTTCTCAATGTCAGTTCCATCATTGAAGCATCTTGGTTATTGTCCCACTGGAGGAAACAAAATCAGAGTAACCAAAATCTTCATCCTGATATTTTAACAGAATAGCAAATCCAAAAGAAAGATAATTAAGTTCCAGCTGCATTAAACATTTTCTTACCCATTCTTCCAAACTGATAAGAGTTCCGCTGGCTGTAGCACTAAGGTCCGAGTGTAGATTAGGCATCGGTTGTTGTACCACCATGGCTATGAGTAGAGTCCCCTTCCTCCCTGTAGTTGCTACTAGTGGTCCTTCTTGAAGTGAGGTAGGTGCTAATAATTTGGCTTCCACTCTGTTCTTTCAATACATGCACCAACTGATCTTTAGCAGGAGCCAGCTATTCATCCCCTGACTATTTCTTCAATCTGTCTCTGGATGGGTGTAGTCCCCAGCAGGTTTGTCTGTGGATGCAGTTTGTTGGCCCCTGGATCCAGTTTTTAATTCATTTATTATTTAGGTTTCAGAGTAACAGCCGTGTTAGTCTGTATTCGCAAAAAGAAAAGGAGTACTTGTGGCACCTTAGAGACTAACCAATTTATTTGAGCATAAGCTTTCGTGAGTTACAGCTCACTTCATCGGATGCTTATGCTCAAATAAATTGGTTAGTCTCTAAGGTGCCACAAGTACTCCTTTTCTTTTTATTATTTAGGTTTCTCAGAGTTCTTGGTGCCACACCTTATTCTGTTATTGGTCTTCTCTTTCTTACATTCTTATTGCTGGTTCCAACACTGAGAGTTAAACTGAAGTAATTGAACAAACTAGTAATTGTTATCACCCTGTCCACTCACATGAAAAAATATTCAAATGACCAGTGGGCTGATTTACTTGAAAGACCAAGGCATGGAATTTATAACAACAACAAAAAGTTCAACCCTATTAATGAGAAAATTAACTGAAGTGCTTGGAAAAGATCTTACAGTGTAAAGTGAGTTACAAAGTATTTGGGGGCTGACACCCATTTCTGGATAGCATGGGACATGCTGCATCTATGTTACATCACTTTCTACTAGCAGTGGTAAAATCCCCTCTACTTCAACGTGCAATTACATCCCAATGGTTTAAGAATAATACTTTACATTTCTAAAGCACTTTTCTTCCAAGGATCTCAAAGCCATATTAAACATGATTTACTAAGCCACATTCCGTCTCTCTGTGATAGGCAGATAGTATCCCCATTTTGCAAATGGGGATACTGAGCAACAGCAAGATTAAGTGAGTTGCCCAAGGTCATCCACATCCATAGCTCTTTCCTCTGCTTTGACTCTTCTTTCTGTACTTATTTTGTCCCTTCTCTTTTCTCTTCTAGTCTCTTCAATTCCTCCTCTACTTCCCCTGCTTCTCCCCTGCCTTTCAAATAATATTTACCTGATATAGGTCCTAAGATAGGAAAGGATCCCCTGGAGGGCTCTTCAGCTTAAGTGCCTATTGAATTCAAATCACATGTTTAAGTGCTTTCCTGAATCAGGGTCATAATGCTTTTAGTTATTTTTTTTACATCATAAAGAGCTTTATTTATTTGGGTGGGTAAGCATTGTTATTCCCATTTTACACCTTGGGGGTAGGGGTGAACTGGGGAGCTGAGAGACTGAGGAACACATTTTCCAAAGTGGTCTCTATTTTTGGGCTCTTCAGTCTTTGGGCATCCCACTTGAGACACTTGGGGCCTCATTTTCAAAGATGCTGAGTGCCCACCACCCCTATAACCTTCAAAACACAAGGGCACCCAAATTTGGAGGCCACTTTTGCATATGTAGACCCACGTGACTTGTCCAAGGTCATACATTGTCAATTGGTTTCTCACGTAAATATATTTAACAACACACAGACTGGCATCTGTTTTCAGTCCAAATCTTTAGGTATTTTGCCTTAAAGTAACAGTGACTTCACCTTTGTGTCTGTCAATATTTACCTCTGTATTAATCAGTCCTTGCCTTGACCTCAGCGTTGGCATCTTCTAGGTTAGTTACTGGTTAACCCCAGGCCTTCAGCCTGCTAGCTTTTTGCACACACAGCCTCTTCTTACTGAGCACACTTATGGAACTGAACAAAGGAAACGAGTTTTTTTGCTAATTTCTCAGGCTATTGTCACATTTCATACTAGAAATCTAATCCTCCCCTTTTTAGCCACAGGCTGTTAAATACGTTCTTAAAGATGGTCAGAGTATTGATGCTGAGCAAATATTTTTTCCAAAACTGTGCAAACTTTACTCTAGAGTTGAGGTCAGCAAAGCTTCATTTGAATGCTTTGTCAACACTGGAAACAATTTTTTCCTAAGGCTGTGTCTACACTGCAGAGACTGTGCTGGTACAAACTTGCGGAGGGATTTTTTCTGTTGGTGTAGGAACACCATCCATGAGTGAAGTTAGCTGTGTCGACATAGCTGCATCTGCACTGAGGGTTAGGTTGGTATAGCTGTGTCGGTCAGGCATGTGGTTTTTCAATGTGCACCTAACTTTCAAGGGCAGAGCAAAGCTAAATCTCTGGCTCAGCACACTTTTTCGAGAGCAGGTTTCGGTCTGGCTATACAACTAAACCTGTGTAACAGTTGCCCACACATCAGGCCTCTGGACCCCATAAGCAATGCACAGACTAAAACAAAATTAACCAGTCTTGTTTTGAGATTTAGCTTTGACTTATGAGCTAAACAAGAGGAAGGATGGTCCAGTGAATAGGATGCTGGTGTGAGACTTGGGAGGCCCAGGTTCAACTCCTTGTTCCACTACAGGATTCCTATGTCTTGGGGAAAGTCCCTTTGCCTCTCTGTATGGAGGATCATAGTACTTTCCACCCTCCCAGAGTGTTGTGACAACAAATGCGTAAAGGATTGTGAGATGCTCAGATACTATGGAAATGGGGCCATAGAAGTATGTATTAGATAGACAAGACTGAAATTTGAAACAAAAATCATGAATTCAAACTGCTAGCATTCAAAATCTGTATAATGCCAAACCAGCAACAACGTGAGCCCAGCTCTGCAGTCCATAAATCCTTTTAGACAACTGTTTCTTCCAGAGTAGCTGGTAATCAAATAGTCTTTTTGTTTTGTCTTTTTTAAAATGTGTTTTGTCCCAGTGGCACTCTAATTCTATGTGTTTACATAAATACAAGATGCAGCCCTTTTCATTTGGCAGAATTGTGTCCCAGTGAGGGCGAGAACAAGAGAAACTAATGGAGCACTTTACTTATCACTAAAATAAAGCAACGTCTGGGATAAATGTAATGCATTTGGTTTTTTTTTTTACCAGCTCCTACAACACTTTAGGACAATGTCCAATTGAAATAGCAGAGGAAATTTATAGTATGTCAGATGAATGTGACTGAGTTGCAACTAGGCCAGGATTTCTTTGCAATTTCAATAATGCAATTATGTAACTAAATGATGTTGATGTCTTTCGCACTTAACGCTTACATGACAGAGAAAAAACAACATAGTATGTAGCAATAATAAGATACTGTGCAGGAGCAAGTTTTTCAATTTCAGCCCAATGTCTCTATATATTTCATGGGGAACCTAGGGTGAAATAACAAACAAATTTTGTTTAGAGATTTTGGAAGACATGGTGATTTTTATATGAGCTACAAAAAGCGCATTTTAGTAGACGTTCAAGTTATGGAGAAAAGTTCCTGACTAGCCCCGTACTCAGAGCTTGAAAAGAAGGGAAGGTGTTTCTTTCAATGCGAAATAAAAAGACGCCCATAAATTATTTCACATTTTCAGGATGCTCTGCACGTACCCTGACCTTTATGTGAACTCTGGGTTATTTGTGGGGAGAGAGACATGTTTTGTGCTTTTCCACATTGACCTATAATTTTGAATTGATTTTCTCTATTTAATTCATGTTTCCATTTCATTCTTGGAATAATATTGGCTCCCTCTTGTGGCCAATTTATCATCTGCTGATTCTCATACTCACCAAAGATTAGCACTGTCAATAATGTGCCTTGTGTTGAAAATACATTTTCTTATTTTTTTGTAGCTTGATTTTTTTCATAATGTCTTGCTACTTCATTATCCAAACTGTACTGCAGCTGATTAAAACATTTTACAGTATATAGCAACAAACATTCATGCAGCATCAGACTTCTGTAAGAGCACAGGACTTGTCATTATAGTTTAATGGAAATGAAGAGCCCAATCAAAGCACTCCACACTTGGGATACCCATCGTCGCCTTCTGTGCATAGAAGGTTGGAAGGTTTGGGCTTAAAGTTTGCAATGAACAAAGCCCAGACGACCCTAGAATGGGTAGCAAATAACTCTGTGCTCCACTTACCCAACGCATACAGGGAAACTAATTATCATTTTTTAAAGCATGTGTGATCATTTATTCTGAAGTTGTTATGGGCCTAAGTGGCTAGTTCAGGAGACTGGTAGTAATCAGAGTCTATTGCTTGTTGGGAACAGATTGCCCTCTTCTGGAGTGTCCTCTGAATTCTTTACTTGTGGAATTTGGGTTTCTTTTATACACAGGGGAAGAAGCCTCACATTTGGCTCTCAAGCCCTAGGGCAGAGGTGGGCAAACTACAGCCCGCGGGCCACATCTGGCCCACAGGACCGTCCTGCCCGGCCCCTGGGTCCCCAGCCCCTCCCCCGCTGCCCCCCCTCCCAGGCAGCCAGGTTGCTGCGCAGGGAGCACTCTGGGCAGCGGGGCTGCGTGCTCCTGCAGGGCAGTGCGGCAG